GCCACAGACCAGGAGATTCCTGGGCTGAAAAGCGCCATGAGTTTTCAGCATGGTGGTTTCAGCTAGTGCCGGGTAGGTGCACAGAAACTCACACAAGCCTGGGCAGCTGTTTTAGACAGGCGCCTGGAATGCCTGGGAGACAGAGCCACCCATTCAACTGAAAGGGAGGGGGCTGAGACAGGGAGCCAGGAGATCTGGCTCAGCAGGTACCAACCCTCACGAAACAAGCAATCTGAAACGCTCTGGATGGAGAGTTTTGCAGCAAGCGCAGCTGGACCCAGGATGGTCCAGATCAGCTGGGGGAACGACGTCCCTGACTAACGAGGCAGTCCGCCACCACTGAGGCAGTTCACACAGCAGCTGGGCAGAGCCTGAGGCAGCTCAGCAACACCTCTGCTGGCAGACTGTGACTAGACTACTCTGTGTGGTACAGGGCATCTATGAAAAAAGGCAGCAGCATGACATAAATAAAGCCGACCTTCCTAGGTCAGAGCACCTGGGAACAGAGGCGGTTATGAGTTCAACTGCAGCAGACTCAAAGGTACCTGCCCAGCAGCTACGCACAGAGCAATGGAGCTCCCAGCACAGCACTTGAGCTCCTATAAGGGACAGACTGTCTCAAGTAGCTCCCCACCCCTGGATACACAAAGAGACACCTCATAAAGGAGAGCTCAGGCTAACATCTGGCGGGTACCCTTCTCGGACGAGGAAAGCAGAGGAAGAAACTGGCAGCAACCCTTGCTGTTCTGCAGCCTCCACGGGTGGCTTCATTCTGGGCATGCAAGGCTGATTCAACATACGCAAGTCTATAAACGTAATCCACCACATAAACAGAACCAAAGACAAAAACCACATGGTTATCTCAATAGATGCAGAGAAGGCTTGCAATAGAATTCAGCAGCCCTTTAGGCTAAAAACTCTCAATAAACTAGGTATCGAAGGAACATATCTCAAAATAATAAAAGCTATTTACGACAAACCTATGGCCAATATCATACTGAATGGGCAAAAACTGGAAGCATTCCCTTGGAAATCTGGTGCTAGACAAGGATGCCCTCTCTCACCACTCCTATTCAATATAATATTGGAAGTTCTAGCTAGAGCATTCAGGCAAGGAAAAAAACAAAGGGCATTCAATTAGGAAAAGAAGAAGTCAAATTGTCTCTATTTGCAGCCAACATGATTGTATATTTAGAAGACTCCATTGTCTCAGCCAAAAATCTTCTTAAGATGATAAGCAACTTCAGCAAAGTCTCAGGATACAAAATCAATGTGCAGAAATCACAAGCATTTCTATACACCAATAACAGACTAACAGAGAGCCAAATCATGAGCAAACTCTCACTCACAATTGCTACAGAGAGAATAAAATACCTAGGAATACAACGAATAAAGAATGTAAAGGACCTCTTCAAGAACTGCAAACCACTGCTCAAGGAAATAAGAGAGGACACAAACAGATGGAGAAATATTCCATGCTCATGGTTAGGAAGAATCAATATCATGAAAAGGCCATACTGCCCAAAGTAATTTATAGATTCAATGCTATCCCCATCAAGCTACCTATGACCCTCTTCAGAGAACTGGAAAAAACCACCTTAAACTTCATATGGAACCAAAAGAGAGGCTGCATAGCCAAGACAATCCTAAGCAAAAAGAACAAAGCTGGAGGCATCATGCTACTTGATTTCAAACTATACTACAAGGCTACAGTAATCAAAACAGCATGGTACTGGTACCAAAACAGAGATATAGACCAATGGAACAGAACAGAGGCATTGGAGGCAACGCTACACATCTACAACCTTCTGATCTTTGACAAACCTGACAAAAGCAATGGAGAAAGGCTTCCCTGTTTAATAAATGGTGTTGGGAAAACAGGCTATCAGTGGGCAGAAAGCAGAAACTGGACCCTTCCTGACACCTTATACTAAAATTAACTCCAGATGGATTAAAAATTTAAACATAAGACCTAACAGCATAGAAACATTAGAAGAAAACCTAGTCAAAACCATTCAGGACATAGGCTTAGGCAAGGACTTCATGACTAAAACACCAAAAGCATTAGCAAGAAAAGCCAAAATAGACAAATGGGATCTAATTAAACTCCAGAGCTTCTGTACAGCAAAAAAGAAAAAAAAATTATTAGAGTGAACCTGCAACCAACAGAATGGGAAAAAATTTTTGCAATCTACCCATCTGACAAAGGGCTAATATCCAGAATCTACAAAGAACTAAAACAGATTTACAAGAAAAAATAAAAAACATCCAAAAGTAGGTGAAGGATAGCAACACTTTTGAAAAGAAGACATATATGAGGCCAACAAACATATGAAAAATGCTCATCACCACTGATTAGAGAAATGCAAATCAAAACCATATTGAGATACCACCTCACGCCAGTTAGAATGGCAATCAGTAAAAAATCTAGAGACAAGAGATGCCAGAGAGGATGTAGAGAAATAGGAACACTTTTACACTGTTGGTGGGAGTGTAAACTAGTTGAACCATTGTGGAAGACAGTGTGGTACTTCCTTAAGGGTCTAGAAATAGAAACCCCATTTGACCCAGCAATCCTATTACTGGTTATATACCCAAAGGATTATAAATCTTTCCATTATAAAGACACAACCACATGTATGTTCACAGCAGCACTGTTTACAATAGCAAAGACCTGGAACCAACCCAAATACCCATCGACAATAAACTGGACAAGGAAAATGTGGCACATATACATCATGGAATACTATGCAGCCATAAAAAATGATGAGTTCGTGTACTTTATAGGGACACGGATGTCTGGAAGCCATCATTCTCAGCAAACTGACACAAGAACAGAAAATCAAACACCGCATATTCTCACTCATAGGTGGGTGTTGAACAATGAAAACACATGGATACAGGGAGGAGAGCATCACACACTGGGGTCTGTTGCAGGGGGCCAAGGGAGGGATAGTAGGAGGGTGGGGAGGTCTGGGAGGGATAACATGGGGAGAAATGCCAGATGTGGGTGACCGAGTGATGGAAGCAGCAAACCACATTGCCAAATGTGTACCTATGCAACAATCCTGCATGATCTGCACATGTACCCCAGAACCTAAATTACAATAAAAACAAAAAAACCACACCAACTCCCCGTCAGCAAAATAGAGAAAATCAGAATTCACAGAAGAAATTCAAATGACCATTAAATAGAAAAAGTTCAATTTTACCAGTAATAAAACAAATTTAAAATTAAAAGTGAGGCACATTTTCATTTATTAGACTGACCAAAGTGAGTGCTGGCCAAGGTAAGAAGAGATGGTATTCATATGGTATTGATGGAATTGGAAATTGGTGTATCTTTTTGGGTGGCAGTCAAAATGTCAAATTCCCTTTGACTCAGATATTACACCTCTGGGAAATTACTTGGTTGAGCAGAAGAAATACATATGTAGGCAACGCTTTGTATACAAGCATGTTTATTGCAGTATCATTGGCAGCACTGTAATATTGGAAATGATCTGTTTCTCCAACTACAGATTATTGAATAAATTCAAAGCAAGATAGTGATTCCTTCTTCTAAAAATTATATATACATATGTATGGGTGTATATATAATCCCAACCATAACACACGCACACACACACACACACACACACACACACATACACACACACACAGACACGAGAAAGATAAAACTGTGTGTAGTGATTACCTCTGGGATGTAGAAATGGGAGGAAAAAAGATTTTGACTTTTTGGTTTATGTATTGTTGTAGTATCTGGTCTTTTTTAAATTAAAAATGTACTGGTATCACTTATATAATTTTTTAAAAAGCAAACCTACTGAATTTATGGTTCACTTCTGGACTGGAAACCAGTCAGCAATATACTTCAACTGAGTACTAACGGTATACTGAAAATATTTGTGTAAAGTATTCACTGGATACCAGATACTTTTCTTTGAGGTGGTTTTTAGCACGTCTAAAAGTCATGAATTAAGGTATGTTTCATGCTCAGAAGCCAAGTAAACTATGAACAAGATTATTCTGTATATAATATAGTAGATATATGCAGTCAACTAATGACAGACTTGGGACGAGACAAATTTAAGTTCCTTAGCCCCAAAATATGATCTGGAGGAGGAACTTTGTCTTTGTTGATAAGCACAACATAAAAGCATCTACAGCCCAAAGGAACAACAGCTTCTTTTCAGGAGTCCCTGAGCAGCACAGGCACTACTAGCCATCTTAAAAGATCAAAGTCTTCATTTAAGCCAAATGCCCAGAATTCAGCTTTCCTGGGGTGCTCATGCAGTTACCAAACTTCTCAGGTGGCAAACAACAAAAAATTACATGTATAAAATAACTTACCTGTTCCTAGTGCTGCTATGTCCTTTCATAGACATAAAGACACTATTTAAAATTCAAAAGACTCCAGCCTGGATTTTCTCCTTCCAATAAGTCAAATACACTCCACATCCCTATTTCATATCCTAGAAAGGAGCTCTAATAATACCTGTGCCAGCTCCATTCTCAAACTGATAAAAGGCTGAAACATGCTCATGTTGGGTAAAACACTTTCAAAGCTGTTAAGTCCTCAACTGAATGGGAAAGTATTTTGTACAAATGTGACTTAGTATTTATTATTTTGAAAGTGGGAGATTCTCAAAGTAGAGCCCTGGTTTATGGTTTTTTTTTTTTTTTCTAGCTTTGATTTAGCAGAACTATATCCTGTTTATAAGGACTTATAAAATTAATGCTTTATGAAGTTTTATGACACAGTAATCATTGCTGGCCACTTCTGGTATAAAGTGAATTAGATGTAATTCTTCTACATTAGCATTCATAAATGATTTTATTAAAATAGTAGCAATGTTAAAGGCCAGAAAATTAAGAAACAATCTTATTTGACTTATTGGAGATAGCGCTATGGCAAGGTCTATCAAAATTCTTTTTATCTTCTGCAACAGTAAAATGAAACACTCCCAAAATGCAGTAAAGATACTAAGAGTCAGATATTTTGCAGACAAGAAAACCTTTTATTTTAAACCACAAATAGTCAGCAGGTGGCCACAACTATCCATGTTTCATTAAAATCACATAAAACCTAGGTACAAAAGCACCACTGATTATTGCTCTAGAAAAACTGCATGAAAATTTCAAATATGCACAGTAAAAACACTACAGTATGCACAGGACTAAGTTTTAAAGCAAGTGCATGGAATGCTGAATCAATCTTACACACAGCTTCCAATATTAAACTGGTATTTATTTTACTTGAGGATGATGTAAATTTCCAAAAAGCATGACTATGAGAGTGTAAACTGTCCATCCTTATATATTTTTGTATGTCAACTAGTAGAGTCCTAAAAAATTAGCATTTACAAAATACTTGGTAAAAATAGCTTTTAAAAGTTGTCCCAAGAGATACATAAAATCAACCCCAATTTTTCATGACAATTCATTCTCCCTTGTTATCTACAGATTCAGTTTTCTGTGCCTGTGAAAAAGAAAGGAAAAAAATATATAGTTACTACTAAAACTACTACAAGAAAAGGAAATTCCACCCACCAACACACACAGTTTTGAACATTTGTTTTCTTTTTTTTTCCTCCCAGCTTTACTGCAAAACCTATTTCAACTCTGGGTGAAAAAGAGGCAAGGCAGGAACATATCACACAAACAATTGGTTGTGTTTATTGCTTTCTGCTTTTCAAACAACCACAGAAGCCTTACCTGGAAGCTCCCACTCTTCATCATCATAATTAAGGAAAAAAAAGACCACATCACTACTATCTGATTCTAGTCACTGCAAACATGCAGAATTTTCTACTGTACCCTTGACTCTCCCTGTTTCAATCTGCCCCTTTACTGACAGTGTGCTGGGTGGGGTACCTCTGGAGGTTGAGACATTAACAGTTGAGCGAGAGATGTGAATCTGCAATAACATTACAGGCAATAAAAAGAGACATTAAGAACGAGCTATCACCGGCTGAAGGATTGAGAAATTTCTTTAAAGACACTGATTCAATCAGTGGGAGGTATTTATGGAAAGTACCTCTTCAGCTTTAGTTTCACCATTTTCAGATGGTGCAGTACCTTCCTTTCCAGCTTCCTGCTTTTCCTCCTTCTTCCCTTTAGCACCTCTGCTAATCTTTGCTCCAGGTTCTTTCTAACAGAGGATCAAAACACAGGGAAAGAGAATGTTAGAAACAGTGTGATGTTGGCTAAAATCAATCAGCCTCTGTCCAAACACAAAGGTGAAGCACAACCGTCACCACTGTGGTGGCCTTTATGGAGACATGGGAACCCAATTTTGCTGGGTTTCAACTAAGTTACACAGCACAGATATGAATCTCTGTGAAAATGTGGTAACAGGTTGCATAGAAAGTCCACTGTGCTTTCTCTTCTGTGGAAAACACAATCTGTGATTCCTCTCCTAGCTTTGGATTTGTTCAGTGGATCTCCCTCCAGTAAGGGGAGAAGTGGTTCTGCCATGGAGAGAGCAGCAGCAGGACTTGGGGAAAGATGAGGCAGAGATGGGAAGAACCTAGCCAGGGGGTGGCTCTGCTGCTGCTTTCCAAGGAAACCCCTCACATGGCTTGCATGACTAGAAAGCTGGGAAGGTGTCAGGAAATGAAGCCCAGATGAAGAAAAGTTCCTAATTTTAAGACCTAACAACAAAAATAAGTTCTGTTTCTGGAATCACCTATTCACGCCACGACACACATAACTTTTAAACAATTTACATGAGACAATACCAAAGGGCAGAGTGCAGAAAAGCCATTTTGGGTAAGTTCCCTAATAAATCTGTACTTCAGTTTCCTCATCTGCAAAACAGGATATTTGTATGTACTTCCATAAAGCTGATGTGAGGGTCATATGAGTAAAGCAATCAACCATATCTGCCATAGTATAAAGGCCTTATAAATGCTAGTATTACTTACTGGCATTATTTTATTATTATTATTAGACCTCAGACTGGCCTGCGAAATCCAGTTAGATGAAGTCAGAGCCCCTTCCCGAACTCCTCCCACAGTGAGGCAGTACTGCAAGGGCCGAAACTCACCCCACTGCATGCCATGTGAACCGCATGTTCACAAGGCTGCTGCCAAATCCCCTTCAGACGTAAGGCTTCTCAGAGCAACATCTCTGACTTCCTGTGCCTCACTGACCAAATGAAAAGCACACTCCTATTAACACAGAAACTGTGCTTTATTCCTTTTAAGAAGGCCCATAACACTGATAACGGTTTTCTGGTCAGTACATTTTAGCTTGGATCATTAAATATGGCTTTTCCTTAATAATTCTGAGGTAGGGAATTATAATTTATTCATTGTTTAAAAAGCCAAGAGTAGGAAACAGCATTTCTTACCTTAACAGATGTTTTTCTTGGTTTGGGTTCAGGTTTTGGTGGAGCAGGTTTCTGCAAAGATAATATAAATTACACAAATACTAAAAAAGACAACTGTCAGCACCAAAAGAAACACAAAGAAACAAACAAAGACAACTATCCATTTTCACATGGCTTCGGTCATTAAAAAGTATTTCATCCTATTTTCAGCAGCAGGTAACAGCTTATAAAGATCTCTGCACTTCATAACTATTTTCACCCTGAGTTCACAAGGGAACCGCAGGTGAGACCGAAAAGCCGACTCCTTATTCCCCGGTCCAGAAGAGTTCTCCTGGAACAGGTCTAAGCTTCTATCTCCAATGTGTCTGTTCTTCCCTTTATCACAGCACAGCAGCAAGAGGAATGACTCAGGCCCATGGCCAAAGGACTCAATGAATTCAGTTGCACTGGCCTTCCTAACAGTCTAGAAATCATAGCACAATCACTAGCAAAGTCCAACTGGTAATGAAGACTGCTGCCTGTGAAGTATTTCAAAATCACTTTCAAATCCTTCCACTTCTGATGTCGATTTCGAGTTCTGTTGCCAAGCTTCTTCCTACTTTTATTCTCTCCATTGCCAGCTCAAGGTGAGAATCTCTTGCCTGACCAGATGCTGGGCTCATTTGTCTCTAGAGGTTTTTATTGAGAACATAATTATAATGCTAAAATGTCTACTGTTAGCTCCCAAAGTTTAAAAATTTTCACAGACATTATTAGCCAAAGAGTCCCCTAGGAAACTATTTTTCTCCTGCCTCATGTGGTCCAGCAGTCCCCATGAGCAGCACATGCACAGCGTGTGACCATGGTCCCTCCTCCACACAATGCTTCAGTCCTGGCTAGCTTCCAGGGGCCTGAGACCAGGTGGCACATGGGGACACTGGGGAAAGATAACCAGTTCAAACCACGAGTTTTCTGTAGATATTTTAGGGCAAATATTTCTCTCATAGAACTAGAACAAAGTGTACATGTCTCCTGGCAATAGAAGAATGGTTTTAAAATAGAAAACACTGGCCAGGGTCTCCCCCTATGGAGAAAAATACATGTTCCTCCCTAGTGCCTCTAGATAATTCAGGTTTGCACAGAATCTGGCCCTTTTCATCAAGGGCATGAAGTGAAATTATAGATAGTTCCATTCCAGAAGACTGGCTGTTAGAAATGACCTTTCAAATAAAAAAAGAAAATCGAGCTTGAAAAGTAAGAAATGTTTTTATTAATTTTCTTATCACCCTAAATCTGCAGCCCAAATACAGCAGCTTTCATGGCTCTTACATTTTCAGAATTTAAAAAATTTTGTCACCCTAAGCTTTGATATATTGTATTAATATACATGTTTTATCCATTTACAGTAAATAATTTACTTTTATATTATTTTCTGTAGGACAGGCCTTTCCCTCTGACCCAGCATTCAAGTGTTTTGATAGGACCAGGAAATGAGGTTTTGTAGTCTGTAATCCTGCTGGCCTCTGAGGAGGCTCTGTTTCAGTAGCACAAGGAATGATCTCAGTGTAAGGTGCTTATATTGCCAGTTTCTGGTGCTCAGTAAAAGCTTTGTTTGAGATTTTGGTTTTCATTTGACTTACAAGGTCTATTCCTTTACCTGCCTAGAGATTCACAGCAGCACCCCTAGCTCTTAAGTCCTCCTAGTGACTGATATCTGTTCCTAATATCAGGAAGATAGTGGTTTGGCTGTGTCCCCAGTCAAATCTCATCTTGAGTTGTAACTCCTACAATTCCCATGTGTTGTGCAAGGAACCTAGTGGGAAGTGATTGAATTATGGGGGTGGGTCTTACCTGTGCTTTTCTCGTGATAGTGAATGAGTCTCACGAGAATTTAAATTCATCAGATCAAGTTCTCTCTGAACAAGTTCAGATGAACAAATTCATCTGAACAAGTTCTCTCTCTCTCTCTCTGCCTGCCAGCATTCACGTAAGACATAACTTGCTCCTTTTTGCCTTTCTCCATGATTATGAGCCTTCCCCAGCCACATGGAACTGTGAGTCAAATTAAACTTCTTTCTTTTGTAAATTGTCCAGTTTTAGGTATGTCTTTATCAGCAGCATGAAAATGGACTAATACAGTACATTAATACCAGAAGAGCAGGTCACTGCTGAAAGATAACTGAAAATGTGGAAGTGACTTTAGAACTGGGCTGGAACAGTTTGGAGGGCTCAGAAGAAGACAGGAAAATGTGGGAAAGTTTGGAACTCCCTAGAGACTTGTTGAACGGCTTTGACCAAAATGCTTATAATGATACAGACAATGAAATCCAGGCAGAAGTGGTCTCAGATGGAGATGAAGAATTTGTTGGGAAGTAGGGCAAAGGTATGTTTTAGCAAAGAGATTGGCAACATTTTGCCTTTGTTCTACAGATCTGTGGAACTTTGAACTTGAGAGAGATGGTTTAGGGTCTCTGGTGGAAGAAATTTCAAAGCAGGAAAGCATTCAAGATGTGACTTGGGTGCTGTTAAAGGTATTCAGTTTTAATCAGAAAACAGAGCATAAAAGTTTGGAAAATTTGCAGCCTGACAATGAGACAGAAAAGAAAATCCCATTTTCTGAGGAGAAATTCAAGCTGGCTGCAGAAATTTGCATAAGTAATGAGGAGCCAAATGTTAATCACCAAGACAACTGGAAAAATGTCTCCAGGGCATATGAGAGACCTTTGCAGCAGCCCCTCCCATCACAGGCCTAGAAGATTAGAAGGAAAAAATGGTTTCGTGGGACAGACCCACGGTCCCTCTGCTGTGTGCAGTGTAGGGACTTGGTGTCCTGTGTCCCAGCCACTCTACCTGTGACTAAAAGTGGCTATGGTACAGCTCAGGCTATTGTTCAGTGCGTGGAAGCCCCAAGCCTTGGCAGCTTCTGTGTAGTGTTGAGCCTGTAGGAGCACAGAAGTTAAGAACTGAGGTTTGGGAACTTCCACCTAGATTTCAGAAGATGTATGGAATCAGCTGGTTGCCCAGGCAGATGTTGTAGGGGTGGGGCCCACATGGAGAAACTCAGTTAAAGTGGGAAAGAAAAAAATCAATTAATACAGTGTGTGACAGTTTTTACCTGAAACCACCAGCAAACTAACTGACCTTTTCACTTTTAAATAATTGTGTTGATGTCCTGAAGACATTATCATTATCAGAAGAGCAGAAGGGAAATGTGGGGTTGGAGCCCTCACGCAGGGTCCCCACTGGGAAACTGCCTACTGGAGCTGTGAGAATAGGGCCACTGTCCTCCAGGCCCCAGAATGGTAGACCCACTGACAGTTTGCACTATGCACCTGGAAAACCTGCAGCCACTCAATGCCAACCTGTGAAAGCAGCTGGGAGGGAGGCTGTACCCTGCAAAGCCATGGGCTAGAGTTACCCAAGACCATGGAAACCCACCTCTTGTATCAGTGTGACCCAGATGCAAGAGGAAGAGTCAAAGGAGATCATTTTGGAGCTTTAAGAGTTGACTGCCCTGCAGGATTCTGGACTTGCATGGGGCCTGTAGCCCTTCTGTTTTGGCTAATTTCTCCCATTTGGAACAGCTGTATATACCCAGTACCAGTACCCCTACTTTACCTAAGTAACTAACTTGCTTTTGATTTTACAGGCTCATAGGCAGAAGGGACTTACCTTGTCTCGAATGAGACTTGGACTTTTGAGTTAATGCTGAAACGAATTAAGAGTTGGGGGAGTGTTGGGAAGGCATGATTGGTTTTGAAATGTGAGGAAATGAGATTTGGGAGGGGCTGGGGGTGGAATGATAGGCTTTGGCTGTGTCCCCACCCAAATTGTATCTTGAATTTTAACTCCCACAATTCCCCTGTGTTATGGGAAGAACCTGGTGGGAGGTGACTGAATTATGGGGGTGGGTCTTTCCTGCGCTGTTCTCATGATAGTGAATGAGTCCCATGAAATCTGATGGTTTTAAAAATGGGAGTTTCCCTGCACAAGCTCGCTCTCTCTGCCTGCTGCCATCCACGTAAGATGTGACTTGTTCTTCGTCTTCTGCCATGATTGTGAGATTTTCCCAGCCACATGGAACTTTAAGTCCACTTTAAGAAAGAAATTAAATTTCTTTCTTTTGAAAATTGCCCAGTCTTGGGTATCTATTTATCAGCAGTGTGAAAATGAACTAATAAACTTCCTTATGAGACTCGTGAAACACTGGCTCAGCCGAACCAAACAGCTGTACTTCTGAACTTGTGAGTGGTCCTAATATCCATTTTTGTTTTGATTCCCTACATTGTACCAGGCACAGGTTTGGGTTGAGAATAAAATCCATGCTTTCCTGAAGGCCAAAGTAGCATGAAGCTTTTGTAATAATTAGCATGGGGATATATTAATATAGTGTCAGTCAAAATGTCAATGCCTTTCCCTTTACCTTCTCAGTGGGAAGCCTGGGCTGCAGGAACTTTAACCAAAATCCTCCACTAGAGTCCAGCTAATCTATTAGGAGGGCAGCAAAAGAGAATGGCATAAGAGCTAGTAAGGAGCACATACTGGTACGGAAAAGCTATAGGATGTCCACCTCAGAGGCTCAGCCATATCTGCCCATTTCAGCTTGTATCCTAACCCCACAAGAATCTCCTGGCCCACAGAAGGAGACTCCAAATAGCAAAGTAGAATTATCACTGTTACAAAGATTCTTTAGGTCTGAAATGAGGCTACAGTATATGGACTCAGACAACTTTCAGAAGATTCTCATACAAACATTCTAAAGTATGAGTTGTGAACAGAGAATCAGAATTCTGTCCACTTCAGTACATCATAGGTAGAATCTGAAGACTGGAACTTTGCTTAATGTACTACTTTTGTTTCAGAGATCTAGCAATGTCAAATAACATCCTTTTTTATATTCTTTGTAATGGGTCTAGCCACTGTTTTTTTTGACACATTTGATCAAATGAATTGCTTGGCAACACTGGTCAAATTTGCTACACATGAGGACCCTAGGTAGTTTTCAAAACGAAAATAAACTCATGGGAAACCATCTTCATCTTCCTTTTGCTGCTTCACTTTGGACAAAGGGATCATGTACTCACGTGAACTAACACCGAAGTGGTTCTAAGGTACTTACCGCTGACAATCTGGCAGACCGTCTTGTGGGCTACAAAGGGAATGGAAAAATATACATATTTTTTGGTGATTATATAAAGCAAAGTTGATTTTTAAAAATCTATTCTTAATATACCTTACTTTGTTGAATGACTATAATGTATGAGTCCCGTCACCTTCTCCAGGTAAGCACAGTGATATTCCAAGTCTCCTAGGCATCATGATACTAAAGAGGAAGTGTTTCTAAAAAGGGGTAGGTACACTGCTCAAATAAACGGCCACTCCCAACCAAGGGTGTGGTGAGTAAGTAAAGGAAATGAAGATGAATTTAGGCTTTATCCCGAATTAAAACCTCTACTTTTATGACAAAATCAACAGCAAGAACATTGAGGTGCTACTTAAGAGCTAGTCTTCAGTCTGACCCCAGCTCCTTAAAAATGGAACTAAAGCATTTAAGTTAATACAAGAAGAGACTTATGCAATTGGGTAGAAACTAAAATAGCAGGAGTTCCCCATGTTCCCCAGGCTGCTATGTTAGAAACGAAAATGACTACAAATCTTGGCAGTTAACAAGAACGGTTTCTTTTGACCTATAATAAAACAAACACATTTGTCTATATGTTCAAAGATTTAACTAGAATTAAAAGTGTATACATTTTTTCTTTTAACTTCAAAGTTTAGAAAATTTACAGAGAAACTGTGTAGAGATTGATCTTTTGGGGAAAATCTTCTCTTCTTCAAGGATACTACAAGTTAACAGCAAGTGACACCGGAAACTGGCCTAGGCACTTCAGCAATAACACACAAAATTGATATTCTACTTACCATCCGGCCTAACATGGCTCCCCAAAGGCTTTCACATTCTAAAAGCCTTTTAAAAAAAGTGCTTCAGAAATAAATACCCCATATTTTTTATCTGCTTAATTCACTGTTCTATTTCCAGTACAGTAGTGTACTGCCCAACATACAGTACAAACTCAGAATATTTGCCGAATAAATGAATCCAATCCTTTTCCTAATTCTCACTGCCTCATGCAGACTTTGTCTCATTACAATAGCTTAAATGTTTCAAATAATTTTTCCTAAGGGGGATAGTAAAAATGGTCAGTAGGAATCCATGCTGTAATTATGAGGAATCATGGAATTCTTGAAGTGGGGCTAAGGTCAGTCAAGGTCAGCCAGTCAGGCCAAACTGGAAGAAATATTTCTTGCTATCTCCACATCTAAGAACTTTCTTGCTGAAAATAGTCAGAGAAACTAAACTCATCTTTCTTTAAACTACAGAAGGAAATGAAGGGCCACAGCCTTCATGAATACTTTTAACCCTGGGGTCTTGAGGAAAGATCAGAGCTGGACTTAAGACCAGCGGGAAGAATGTGCTGAGAATGGGAGACTGTGCAGGTTAAGTGGTTAGGTGGGATACACTCACTGCACAGAGTAAAAGCACGTACAGCTCAGCGCATAGTCCTGTGAATCAGTACAGGAGAAGCGCCTGTCAGATTCTCCATAGGAACCATAGTGCCTGCTATGGTTATCAAGGGTGCATTCCTGACAGTGCGCCCTTGAGTCCCTGGGCACCAGAATCCAACTTTCACAATACTTTTTACAGGATGGTTAACTGTATTAATTGAGTATACTGAAGAAAAGGCAACATTATCAAGTAAACTGGGCAATAAAAGGGTATCATGTGGTTTTTTTAATGTGCTTTCTGAGCAGAGAGGAGAAAAGAGCACCTGCCAATCACCCAACAGAGCTCAGCTTTGAAGCTTCAGTGTGGCCTCAAGAACTACTCATGTCTCACAAACTACAGCAGGCAGAACAATACCTTCCAAGACGAAAGTGGCATTCTCCATGCTAAAGAGAGGTGAATGAACCTTATCTGACTCCCTCATGACTTGATGTCAACTCATGTGCATCATGTTGGTCTTGCCTCATATTCACTTTATCCGACTCAGGTCTCCATCCCCTCTTGCACAGGACCACTTCCTCTTACATTTCTATGGCTCCAATATGCAACAGGGACCCTCAATAGGTGTTGAGATGAACAGAAGGGGTAAGCACCAGAAACATACAGCAACAGTGAGCTTGTGGGAGGGGAAGAGGTCCTGGAGCCACTACTCAGTTACTCTTTAGTTTGAGGCCTGAAAGGGGGACAAACATGTTAGCCATTACTCAAAACTGCCTCCCTATCTGCCATCTACAAGTCTTCAATAAAATCTCCATGAAATGAGGCAAAATCATGTGAAGAGCTCCCCAACTATGACACTGTTATTCCTCTCCATGTGAACACCTGAACATACTCAATAGACTAAGTGATGTCAGAGAGCTCTTTGAGATTTCCAGAGACATTCCTATCTAAGCACTGCTTTGCAGGGCCTAACAGCTGTTCTGATCCAAAGGACTGAATACCTTTTAAAAATTCAGGTCCAGTACAGGAATTCCAAAATAAAAAGCCTAGGAAATTAATGCCCCCCAAAATTGCCTAACCTATCTAAACCAGCAAGTCCCTAAAAATCCTGTCTTCTATTATAAAATCATTTTGTGACTTTCTACCTAAAATGTACCACCTCTTCTTTCTATGCCATTGAAAAAAGACCTTTCTTACATTTTCTTTTCCAGTAGCCACCATTTTTCTCTTTCACTGCAGACAGGGGAGGCTGAGACAAACCTTTCACTCAGCAGTACTGATTATGCATGCAAGGAAGGACGCCTTCCTGGAAAGTTCCATCAGCTTTCACAGCCTTAAAAATCTATAAACTATTAGACTATATTTATTGGATATGAAATAGATTAGACTATTTTTTTCCTTTTTAAAACACTAACATCCGAAGTATTCGTTTGAGACTCAGATTGCTGGGTGGAACTACTAAAGAAAAAAAAAAAGATACTAAGAATTTCTCTTGATTTTTTTAAAATTGTGAATCCTCGGGAAAAGTGGTCCAGAGACTACTTATTAGCACTTCTTTGACATTCCCTATTACCCTTCCTTGCTGTTTCTTCATTGCCAATATCCAATTATTTTACTAGCTCTGAGAGGGAGGGAAGAAGGGCTTTTAGAATGAAAAGCCATCTTTGATAAATATGACAAACAGATATGACAAATGTGATGGTTTGTCACTATGGTATTCAGGTGATGGTCACAATGGAATTATTCCATCAGCATTTATTAACTGATCATCTTTTAGGTTGGAGAAAATTCTGGTGAAGCCTATTCTGAAAGACATGAAATCTACTTTAATGTCCTGGTTGCAGAAGCAACGCAGAAGTCTAATCTCCCAATGACAAATTAGACAGTGATAGCTAGATTCAATGGAATCACTGGGCTTTGTTGAATTGGAAATATGGGAGTATTTTTATTTTTGAGATTTTTTTACTCCTGAGCCTGACCATGTATCTCCAAGCAAAACCCAAAAGTCAAGTTGTTTTTAATTCTAAAATAAAAAAAAAAAAAAAAAAAAAAAAAACCCTAAAAAGAAATTGTCTTCTTTTCAAAACTGGGAAGTAGGAAAGTTTGTACCTCAGATCCTTGGCTGTGAATAGACAAGACAGAAAAATGGATACTGGATGACCAGATTTTTAGCACTGTCACAAAAGGGCCATAGGGATAGAGGATTTTTGAGCAGGAGATTCAGATCTGTTTCCTGGTTCTGCTATCGACAAGTTTTAACACCCAGGGAAAATCATGTTTGTCTAGGAACTTTGCTCTAGTTAAAATAGGGATAACATCTGCTAATATGTTCTCAAAAATAGCACTTCTCTAACATTAACTATTTCCCTTCCTTGCTTTGTTTTTCGTCATAGCTAATATTCAATCATTTTATTTACTCTCTCTTCCACTAATAGGTAGCTCCATGAAAGCAGGAATTTTTGCTTCTTTTGTTCAATGTGGGATCTGCAGAGCCTAGAACAGTGCTTGGTACATTATAAGTGCTCACACATTTTTGCTAAGGAATCATCTGCCTTCCTTTCACAGTATATAGACCGGACAAAATAATGGATGTAAAAGGGTTTGTAACGGTTGACCATAATGACTATATTATTTTGGTTATTTTCCATCCAACTCCCCTGAAATACTAACCTTTGTACAATGCATTCTAATATAATAGCGGAAGAGGATTTTCAAATAGAATCCCCCTTAGTAGCTGTTATCCATTCACTATCGTTAAGATAGTGCCATACTCAATGACATAGCTGGGAAATTAGCGGGAAAGAAAAAAAAAAAATCAACTAATGCACTGACAGTTTTTACATGAAACCACCAGCAAACTAACTGACCTTTTCATTTTTTAAATAACTGTTAAATGACAGGTAGTCTTTCCTAGAAAATACTTTTAGTAACAACAACAACATTTTGTAAAATATGTAGAAAATAAAATAAAATATAAAAATAACAAATAAAAACATAACAAAAAAATTAGCTGGGTATGGTAGCATGCACCTAGAGTCCCAGCTACTTACTCGGAGGCTGAGGTAGGAGAATCACTTGAGCCAAGGAGATGGAGGCTGAAGTGATTTATGATCTCGCCACCTCACCCACTCCATCCTGGATGACAGAGTGAGATGCTGTCTCAAAAAAAATAAAATAAAATAATATGTGTAAGACAGCTGTACAAGCAAAACCACACACATATCATTTATATATATTCTCACCAGCTTCATTTGCTTTTAGTATAGTAGAATTGGAAAGACTATCAAAGCTTACTGTGTGCCATGGTGTTCCTAGTTTTCCTGACTGATAAATCAATTTAAATGCCAGTCCCTAAAGAAAAACCCAGATGCTTTTGTTTTAGTGTCCAAATCTTAAAAACAATAAGGTTAGTTACACTTAGCCAACTGTTCTAAAAATCATGGCTGGGCGTGTTGGCTCACGCCTGTAATTCCAGCACTTTGGGAGGTCGAGGTGGATGGATCACAAGGTCAGGAGATTGAGATCATCCTGGTTAACATGGTGAAACCCAGTCTCTACTAAAAATACAAAAAATTAGCCGGACATGGTGGACATACTTGTAGTCCCAGCTATTCACAAGGCTGCAACAGGACAATCACTTGAACCCAGGAGGCAGAGGTTGCAATGAGCCAAGATTGTGCCACTGCACTCTAGCCTGGGCGACAGAGCAAGACGCCATCTCAAAAAAAAAAAAAAAAAAAAATCACATTTTGCCATTTTCCGAGAAAATTCAACCATTTGTCACTTTTTGGTTGGTTCTTATCATTTTTTGGTTGGTTCTCACATTTGTATGGTGACTCTGCTTTGGATAAAAGAAAAAATCATGATTATTCCAAACTCTGTCAAACCATGAATGCTAAGTACATAGATGGCAGAGAAAAACTGTTTTGTTTGTTTTGCTTTTAGGTTATTTCTTTATGGATTCTGTTTAAGATTTTCCACTTGGCAGAATGAATTTCCTTGCACAAATCTTGTATAGGGGTTTTGGTATTATGATAAACTCCTCTGAATTATTAACCACAATATGAATCACCCGATCAAAGAATCCGTAACTAAATATTGTTTTTGTCTCACTCATGACCCTTTTTAGTTGGTAAGTTCAAGGGTAACAGCTGCAGTTTTCCACCTACTCTAAAGCTCTGTGAAAAGACAATGGCTGTCTTCAAAATTACATCTCATTTCCTACTGTTTAGCCAATCTTTTTTTAGAGGTTCATAATAATAAATGTGGAGGGTCAAATTCCAGAAACTCTTCCATGTTTCTAGACTTTTGGAGGTTTCCGAATTTTAATACAAAACATCATTGAGTCATTGCCTAATTAGTTATCCCAATATCCTTACTGCTCCCAATTTTTAAAAAAAAGCTTTAATATTTTGACATATTGTGTATCCTTCTACAGTTTTTGACTTTAAAGATGATCCTTCTCAGGCAAAATATTCAGCACCTAAAAAGTGATTTATAATCCACTCATTGGAGCACAGAATTTACGATATCAAGTCTTTCGTTTTCTTGGTGTGAAAGGCAGACTTTGTTGTCCTTGATGAATTTGCCTATTATCTTACTCTTTGCCCAGAAGGAATTCTCAGTATCTGCTTTACCAGAAAGTAGGGCCGACAAGTAGAAACATAAACAACACAGTAAGTGGAAAAATGCCTCATCAATATACTCAACTGAAACATACCTAGGCCAAGAGAGACTACATACAGACACTTATCTCTGTTTTATGTAGTCTTAACAACCATGTTCATTCATATTCAACCTTGTTCATAAGACTGTCTGCATTTCATTCAGATGCAGATAATCTTAACAATATTAAACATTTCAATGTAAATAATTAGATATAAAATGTTAAAGATATACTTACCTCCTGTTTAGTTACTTTGGATCCATCTTTGCCCTCCGCATTCTCTGGAGACTAGAAAGACAATATTTCAGTGAATTGTATTTAAATTGGAAAACACACATTAGAAAAATGTTTTTAAAAAGCTATTTCATTCCCAGAACCAAATAAGCCAACAGATTTTTTTTGCAGAGAAAAAATAAGTTATAACAGGGTATGTCTTTTACACGCTTATGTGCAAGCATGCACACACAGTAGATAGCTGCATAACTGCTCTACTTTTAAAACAGAAATGGTGAAAGAAGGATGCCATCCCTTGTTCTCAATGTGCATGCACCCTAAGTGACTTTCATTTAACTTTGATGATTCCAGTTAAAGAACAGTGGCCAGCAGTCAGTGGCAGGAATGCCTGGGAGCCACCCTCTTGTTCCAATTGCTTTTCTAGTTACTCCATTCCTTTAAGATCAGGGCAGGCTGCTGGTAAAGTCCAGGCCAAACACGAAAGCACATTTTCATCCCATCCTTGCCTAGCCTTGATTTCTAGCCCATTTCTTGATATGACCTGACAAATTTATCATAGATTACTATTTTTCCATTATCAACTCCAGCATCTCTACTAAACTCCCAGCCTTGGCATGACAGCCAGGCTACATGCCACCCCCGATTTATTTCCAGGTTTTGATTCATCCCTTGGGGCAGCACCTGCCCCCCTTGTGACAGCTGAAGCCTGGCTCCTTTACAGGATGTGTATGCTATGGGGAAAATATACTTTATATTTTCTTTATATTTTAAAGTAAAATATACTTTGGATTTATTGGATACTCCACATGTCCCAGTATTTTTTATTGGCTACGAGTTAATAAATAATATTTAAACAAACTAATTAGAAAACTAGACTATCTAACATATTTTAAAACTGTTTTATGGTTGGAAAGTGAATACTCAGTCTCTACGGCACAAATAGGCTGCTGATCTGAATAGAAACCTCATTAGAAAAAAATACAAATAGCAAACTGACATTTGACATGATGTTTGGCTCAGCAAAATAAAACAGCTATGTGGTAATGCCTCATCTGATAAAAGGAGAACAAAATTCAAGAGATCATAAAACCCAGTGCTTGAGGCTGGTGGCACTGGAAATATAATAATTTCAAAGAACAACTTGGCAATATGAAAAAGACACAGAGGACTAATATGACCTAGTAATTTCAATTTTGGAACCTGGACTCAAAAAAAGAAACTCTTTGTAAATAATGGGTTTTATTTGTACTATTTTTAACATGGAATAAGTGGAAGCAACTCATGTATCAGTGAATAATAGAGAAATGTTTAAATAAGCTATTATTTACATATTTATGTAAATATGAATGAACAGAATTAAAAAGTTAGGCAATCTGAATACATAAAAAGTCCACATAAAAGAATGCTAAACTTAAAAACTTAGGTCATAAAAAAGTATGCAAAACAAAAGTCCTAAGTATATATATAAGTCTTTAGGAAAGAAAAAAGCTTTTCTTCAAGGCAAAGGATCCAGTGACCTTTGTCTATTCCCTGGGGCTGCCTATTACCCGTAGCCTATCATATGTCCTCTTTCCAGAACCTCCCATGTCATGGATTTCTCTCATTTCCAAATCAACCATCTCCTCTCCTCCATGGAAACTTCTCTATCATGAAGAAATAGCTTTCTCTTTTTTGTTCCCTACTCTCTTGCACAGGAATATTTGGTTCATAGATCTTGTGTCAGTCAGTTGTGGTAGAGATGGTAAAATCTTAGTCTGAGTATATGAATATAATTCCTAGGTGGGCCACTGGGTTTTGCACACTTCCATGGCTACAAACTCAACCCTTCTGGCCACACAACAGACCCTTGGTTGTCTAGGAGAGCTGGGCTTTCATTCAGACCTGTCAGGTCACTCAGCAGATTTCAGTCTAGGGTACTCTCTACCTATAACTGATAGGCAGTTAAAGCAGCAGCACATAGCTATTATAAGAAAAACTGATGTTAATGAGATTATTTCCATATTTTTCTATGCAGTGGGTTAGTGACAGGCAATATGATAGAGTTCAATCTCTAAACATTGACCTAATAATGTTTATATGGGATGCAAATTATTCAAAAAGAGAAACTTGTAAAGGCACTGCATAAAAAAAGCAGGTACACTAAAAATGTGAATGCCTTCAGATGAATGAACATAAGGCTCTGGATGTCAAGGGCTAGCAAAGCTGGTTTCTGTGGCAATGTCCCCACAACGGCTTTCTGTTAACAAGCATTTAATACATCTACAGTCAGGAACAACCAATCTTTATCGCCGATCAGTGTGATACAATGGTATGAATGCAGGATGTGAGCTCAAGACATCTGGCTTGAATCTCGGCTCTCTACCTAGAAGCTGTATGATCTGGGACAATGATTTGATCACAGTGGCTCAGTCTCCTCATCCATGAATGATAGATTATGATGACAGCTAACTCAAAGGGTCAAGCTTATGATCAAGTGAGATACTGCAGAAAACATTTCATAAACTGTAAATTGATATACCAAGGTTATGCAATAAAAAAGATCTTAAGATGACTTTTGAATTATACAGTATGAAACTATATTCAGCAGAGCCTTAAAGTTAAGCACATTTTCTTACATCCAGATTCCCAGAAAACTGGTTTTCTGTTTTTGCTGCACAGAGTAACAGGCAGACTATTTTGGAAAGACCTACAGTTATAAGCTGTCTTATCACATAACCCTCTCCATCAATTAACTCTAAGCCACAGGCGGGGGGCAGGAAGGAAGACAGCATGGTTTTAAGGGATTAACACAGAAACCCAAAACTTTTTGCGCCAAGGGATTGTGAGGAATAAAAACAAAGAAAAGGGGGAAACAAAGGGTTGGGAGTGTATACAGGGGAATCTCAGATGTACTTCAACTGTCTACTGTCTAGCAGGTGGATATGAACTTCCCAGCAGGCAGATATGAAAGATGAGGAGCGTTAGATGGGATGCAGGGACTGCCAAGGCAAAGGGGGCTCTTGCCCCACTCTCTAGGACACAGCAGGCTTCTACTAATCCGGTTTGAACAAAGAATAGTCAAAAGGTCCCAAACCATGGTTAAATAAAAAGATCTAATGCACATATCCAAGGTTCCTTCAGTTCCCAAGTGGCCAGCATACTGAGTTGAGAGCCAGCAAGGAGGTGGGGGATACACAGCAGGGTGGCCAGATGGAGGCCACAGCAGGGATTCTGGGCACCAGTGAGAGCTGATCTAAGGGCAAGTCCGCAGGCAGGTAGATCACTGAACACCTGACAACTAGGTCAGGACAGATAATCATCCAGGAGAACCTGAATGTTGGCACAGAATGATTATTCTAAGTGAATGAGGCTGATCCAGAGTAATCTCAAAAGGGCGGTACTTTGGGCAGCTACATACTGTGTGAATGGAGCTGAATAGCTGTCACCCTCCAGAGGATAAGTTGAAAACATAGAAACCAATCATCATATATAAACCAGAGCTTTGGGTGCTGTCTCTGGAATGTTGGTAGAATGCTCACCTTGAATCAAATGGGTACTAGAGCAAAGGAGATTGATAGACTCTGGCAGAATTTGTATCCATTTCAGATGGAGGCTTATACAATTTGTTCTAGGCCCTAAGAGGTCTAAAGAATAATTGTCATAGTAGAGTCTAGTGTCTTCAACTAAATGGGAGAGCTTTCTCCCTCAGCTGAAATATTGGGGTATCCTTGATAGCTGATGTGTCAAGACGTTATCAGGACAACTTTTTCCTTCACTATTAGAAGCTAGACTTACAGGTTTGCAGGACCTATAAGTGGTATGGAATGTGAACCCACATCGGGGTCAAAACAGGAAGAGTCTTTTCTCATCACACCCAGTGTTAAGGCTGACATGGGCAAGATCCCTTAACCTGTTCTAGGCAAGAGATGTTTTAACTTTTTGTTGTTAGATCCTCATGCCTTTTAAGGAAGCTGCAAACTTGAGGATACTGCAGTAGCTCTTCTCCCCCTGTACCAGCCCTAGGCTTTGATTCCTATCCCCTCTGGCACATCCCAAAAAGGAAAACAATGAGGAGTTGGGTGGGAAGGAATGCTTGCTCAATCAGATTTTAAGACTTAAAAATAATAAACAATATAGGTAACTAACACTTATACAATAATATGACACTTAAAAGAGACACCAAAAACTCAAGGATATAGAAAGCATGAAAATAAAAGGATGGCGAAAAAATATATACTTAGCTAAACTTAATTAAAAAGTAGAAACCATCTAAATATGTGTCATCAGGAGGATATGTACACAGTGGTATATAATAAAATAATAAGTAGCAATGAACACAAATGAACTGTGAGTATGCACATCCAACATAGGATGAATCTCACAAACGTAATGATGTTAGGTATAAAAGGCAAGTCATACCATGATTCTACATAAAGTTTAAAAATGCAAATATGTGGAAAACCTATAAAGAAGAGCATAACAGATGATAACTACAAAATCCTGACAGAGGTAACCCTTTGCTGAGGAAAGGGAGGGTAATTTGGGAAAGACAAAGTCAATGGTAAGAGTTACATTTCTTAAGCTAGATGGTGGTTTATTTTATTATTATGTAAATCATGTATATGTAGATACTATCTTCTGTCTGTATGTTTTCTATTAAAATGTCTTTAATTCATAGAAAACAGAGGCTTTGGAAAAAAAAGCAGGCTCATTGAAATAAAAAAAACTCAAAACACAGATAAACTCACAGTAGGAATTGCCACAGACTGCTGAGGAATTAACCCATAATGCAACAAAGAACAACAAAAGGATGAACAAGAGAGGTTAGGAGATGCAGTTAGCTGAGAAGCTCCACAACTATTTAATAGACATTTCAGAAGCAGAGAAAGAGGTGCCAATAGGAAAGTAAAGATATAATGACTGAGTATTTTCCCAAAGTAAAGTCTTGACTCTCCACATTGAACACACACACCAAGGAACAAGCAGAAAACAAAACAAAACAAAACAAACAAAATAATACAATAAGGCATATTGCAATAAAATTACAAAACATCAAGGAAAATGAGAAAAATCCT